TACAGTCTCTGACACCACTATCATTATTATTACGATTGTTATTCACTTCACGATCAAACAATCTCTTCAGAAATTAATTACTTAATAGAGAAGATTTAGCGCTCAGGTGGATGATTTGGAATTATTAGTGTTCTCTGAGCTGGTTGGTTTGGTTGCGGAGCTTTCGTCGTCCTTCTGGACAACATCTTCAGCGCAACATTTAGCATAAAGTGAAATGATTTAAATTTCTTCATGAGTGATATAATTGCGTCTCCCGGTAACCATCTTTACATATGTATTGACCATTTTCTATTGACCTGGATTTTGAACTTTCCCGTCAAGTGATTTACTTTTTATTAGTTGGTATATTTCGTCTATATTAACATGTTTGTTAATTGCATTTTCGTTTGAGTACCAGGCTTCCAGGAATTCTCTGGCACTTTCGGTGTTTACTCTGTCTAAGATTTCGACATTATCCCAATCAAATTGATGTCCATAATTGTCTATATGCATTGATACTAAAGAACATATATTGTGTCTTTTCACGGCTGATTTGTCTTCTTGGATTCTAATTCGAAGGGGACGCTCACTTTGGCCGATGATGCCTTACAACATACTTCCAATTCAATACTCAAATGTATGAACAAATAAAAGGAACACCAATGGGATCGCCTATATCAGGATTAATAGTTGAAGCCGTTATGCAAAGATTAGAATTAATAGCTCTACCTGTAATTAAACCGAAAATCTGGGTACTTTACGTTGATGACACATTTGTAATAATTAAGAGGAATGATTTAGAATATACCCATAAATTAATAAACAACATATTTGAAGACATCAAATTCACAAGAGAAGAGGAATTAGATACAATCCCATTTTTAGATATGTTAATCAGGATAACGAACACAGGAAATTTAGAAACACAAGTATATAGAAAATCAACGCACACAGATCAAATATTCAACTAAACCAGCAATAATCCAATTACTCACAAACGAAACTGTGTGCAGACATTGTTTAAAAGAGTCCAAACACATAGTAGCACTTCAGAGTTGGAAAGAATGGAAGAAAAATACCTACAGACGGTCTTCAAAAAGAATGGTTATCCACAAAATTTCATTAAAAGGTGCCTAAAGTTGAATCAAAACATCAACAAGAAACCATCATCAAAGACCACAAGAAAATTCATCCTACCATACATGAGAAATATCTCTGAAATAACAGCTAGAATACTGAAACCGTTTGATATAGACATTGAACACAAGCTAGTCAAATCGTTTAATTCGATATTATGCAAACCGAAAGATCCAACAGAAAAAGGGAATAAAATTAATACCATTTACAAAATAAATTGTATGAACTGTAACAAGCATTACATCGGCCAAAGTGAGCGTCCCCTTCGAATTAGAATCCAAGAAGACAAATCAGCCGTGAAAAGACACGATATATGTTCTTTAGTATCAATGCATATAGACAATTATGGACATCAATTTGATTGGGATAATGTCGAAATCTTAGACAGAGTAAACACCGAAAGTGCCAGAGAATTCCTGGAAGCCTGGTACTCAAACGAAAATGCAATTAACAAACATGTTAATATAGACGAAATATACCAACTAATAAAAAGTAAATCACTTGACGGGAAAGTTCAAAATCCAGGTCAATAGAAAATGGTCAATACATATGTAAAGATGGTTACCGGGAGACGCAATTATATCACTCATGAAGAAATTTAAATCATTTCACTTTATGCTAAATGTTGCGCTGAAGATGTTGTCCAGAAGGACGACGAAAGCTCCGCAACCAAACCAACCAGCTCAGAGAACACTATTAATTGCAAACTAATTACTTATTTCGAAAGTGACCTACCTCACCCTCTTCACTTCTTTTCGCATCTGAGACTAACGTCTAATAACTATATGGCTCATGCTGCATTAATTCATGGAGTGAAGTGGAATCTTGTTGGTGGCTAGATTCATATGAGTGGCCTCCAGATTATTGGCCCGGTAGCTAGTTTGGGTCCTGCAGCAACACAAATATTTCACATTCAGCCATCATTATTAACATCACTAGTTGTGTGCCAATCAATGAATACTCAAGATATTCTCCTAATATTACCTGGATTACATATAATATGGTATGCACACATTTTAACTAACGAAGTCGACTGAAATTTATTGAGACTATTAAATTATGTCTTGTCAACTATCACTGTTTGCTTAAGAATTCCTGTAGCCACTGAGAAGAAATTGTGAAGACTCAGATTATTCTTGTGTTTATGGACCACATAGCACAATCACAGAAGGAAATGCAGCCATGTCACCACTACATATAATTGATGATCAAAGTTTCAATGCGAAAATTCTCTAAACTCAACTGATAATTTGCTGAGTGCAAAGCTCTAGATGGAATATAACCATTTACATACTCAGGTCACTGTATATGTGATCAGCTTGCATGCACAGATAGCGACAGCTTCAATGGTCTCAACAGATTCTGTCATCTAGACTCAGTTTTACCAGGTACACTACTGTGTTCTCGACTCTAAACAACCAAAACGTCTGAGGAAAATCAAATAACCACGCTTGAGCTGAGTAAGCAATACAGCTGAGGAAGCTGTGGCTTGCACAGACATACGCTCAGAAAAATCTTGTCTTAAACGCACTGCGATTATTTTAATTGGTTTTTAATAAGTCAATCTGACTCTACTCCCAAATTATTCCAGGAAATCAACTCAAGTTTGTACATTTACAGTACATCACATTTGTTTTGGTCGACATGTTTGTTGAGCAATATAGCTTTCGCGTTCGAATGAAAATATAGTCGTGCTGCTCCCTGCTTCGTCTTCCACTGGTTTCTATAGTCTATTTACTCTGCTAGTCAGCGTGTCGTATTCTTTGGAACCTAAGTAACACTTCATCCAAAGGCCATCCACCAATCAGTGAACAGCCTCTGTCAGTGGGCTCAACAGTGAAGCGTATCTGTGCATTATACTGCTAATTCATAGAAGTAGACTATAAATATATCTCCAAGTAACCATTGTCTTTCACAACTCAGTTATCTGTATATCTATAATATGTTATCGGAATATTTTCACTAACTTGGACTTTTATTCTGATATTTCTTACACTTACTGAGCTCATTGATTAATTCCCTACAGATGTAGCTCATGGTAAGATGTCTAATAACACAGAGAAACGAAAGGTTTTATCCATTCCGAATGTAGAGATCAGAAGGAGTTATGAAACAACATTTCTGATTCAGATGCGGGTTTTATGCTACATTTAGAAATTCCATCTTCTTCTCAGTCAAATTAATTGATACTGCAAGGTGGATATCGTAAATCGCAATTCAATTCATATTCAATTTCTCGGAGATATTCTTCATTTTAAACCCACAATTATTTCGATAAGATCACATGACTGATGATCGGATTGTGTGGTGTAATATTCACTTGCAAATGTAGAACACTGAGAGTGACATTACACGTAAATAAAAAAAACATCATCGACACTGGTTGTTGAATGCTTGATAGACAAAGTAACGTCAACTTTAGTAGATGCCACTCTACTCATTTGTATCATCTACTCTCTTCAAACACAGCTGTAACTCCCAATACATGGAAGCGAAATTGCAGAAAACAAAACAAAGCAAGTCACAATAATTTATTCGCCTAATATACTCAACAATAACATCACAAAATGCCAACCATAATAAAATGACCGCTTATTTACACATCCATGTTTATAAGGGTATACAATTGCTTATAAAACAATGAGTGGAACAGTTTACACATGATTGACAGTTGAACAAAAGAAATTGGAATGTTCATTGTTCAAAATTGAAAGTAGAATATGAAGAAAAAGAATAGAAAGATGATGGATGGAAAGAGGAAGAATTCAAATTCAGATGTGCTGACAATGCTGATGAAACTTTAATAAAATACACCACAAAACTACCTAGATAAAAGACAACCACCAGCTTTATACTTAATATAGACTAAATTGGGAGGTATCAGTTCACGATTACAGTGTCAAACCCTACTCTTCCACAACTCACCACTCACTGGTTCACTCACTCACCACCGGAAGTTCAATATACCCATTAGTACTTGTCCGTCACAACAACTCGCATAAATTTTTCCATACTGCCAACTCAAACAGGTGAAAAGTGGTACACTTATGATTCCATTGAGTGTTGTCAAATTGCCCTTCTTCAAAATGATGATATGGGGTTTCATATGTGTGAATATATCTAAGCTAATCGTGACTACATCAGACACTCAGTTGCTGACATATATCATTTGCAAACGCCATCTCTACATATTTCAAGTGAAGATGAGTTGATACGACCTTCATAAGATGATTTGAAATGTATCGCTTACAAGACAAACGCACACATTAATTATGTCCATGTGTGTGGATGAGTCTAACAATAAATGGAGTATGCAAACACAAGTTAGAAGACGTGGTTTCATGTTGACGTCAGTGAGAATCTACCAGAAAGTGTAGAACATATTTTGAACACTGACATTTGGCAAACACACCTTCATTAATCTAGGGTGAATGAAAAGTCGATGTGACATGTTACTAATTTATAATCACGACCAATTTAGCATGGTCAATCCAGTGTTTCAGTCCTGTTCTACTCTCAGCACTATCAGACCAAGTCTTTTTATTCGTAAATAAACGCTACGATGATATGGCGTTTATCGTCATTTTGTGATATTGTTGGAAATCACTTTATGCGAATCGATGGTCTGAACGTAAGCGAACTGACCCATATCTGGTGAATTAAAACAAGCTGTGTAAAATCTTCTAAGTATTCAAATACAGTGTCATACTTTTCTCACTCTCCTGAAAAGAGAAATAGTTCTTATCAACTGACCAACAAGACAAATGTACAGTTTTCTCAACATCTCCATTTTTGCACATTTGAATACCGAAAAACCATGTATAAAATTAGTGCGGTATATTATATGTGCAGGAAAACAATATCCAGCGGCTTCAATTTTACTACTACTCACCACAATACACTGAATTCATCGGAGTAGCAGCAAAATAGTTAACCATATGGGGAGGAACTTGCATAAAATGGTAAGTCCAATCATTTATAGCCTCGTAACAGACTACTCTTTTCGCAATGACTAGTGCACATTTCGCTTTCACGTCTGTCTGAAATAAACAACACAAAAAAGTAATAATAATAATCAAGGCTTTCAATTCAGTACGCGAAAATCCATTGATTATTGGTCCCAAAACGAACATCCTGTTATCTCCTTTAACCGAATCTACATAATCGTTTATCTTTAGGATTAAAGACTGATCAAGCATCAAATATAATTTCAGTTGATATTGGTTATTGAGGAGGTTATGAAGTATCAGTAAATCCGACAGTTAAATCACTAATCACATGAATGTGCCACCAATTAGGTGCCCAATGTTACACAGTGTGCAGGCTTCTTAATGCAATAAGCGAACGAATAGGTTCGTACAAGTGAAAATTATATTCTATGTCAAGTAGCAGATTGGTGTTCTGGATTATAAGCAATCACTTTCAGACATGAAGGCCATCTGTTCTCATTTACTTGGTAAACATGTCACACACAAATGAAATGAATAGGAACAGTCCAATGGATTTTTTTCCTTCACTTTCCCCAGTGGAACATAGTGCTTCAAGCTAGTGGTTTGAAGTTTCTTTAGCAGTGTTTATTTCACAGGATGGGGTTGCTAGCCTCATGCCCAACCTTTCCTCTTCACCAGCATTATTTCTGCTCGAGCGAGGTAAAGGAGTTCGTCGGCTGGGGATCAAACTCCGGACCATGTGCATGGTCGAGCGAGGGTTCTGACCGCTATGCCACTGACGTATAGAAGTATCGTTTTAAAAGCTGTGAAGATGTGTTGTTCGATTTTTCTACAGGATTCACTGCATATAATAATAAATTTCTGTCAGCTTACTAGTTCCAGAAATACACGAGATACATCGCTAAACTTCTTAATAGTCCAAAGTATCTCTTTCGACAATATGTCACTTCCGAATTTTATTTCTTGGAAGCCGAAAAACGTTATATATATTGTTAATATTCCTTTTGGGTCCCAAATGGAACTAAGGGCTTCAACAACACATGTATATTTGTGCTGTTCTGCGAAGTTCTCGCTAGATCTTTCCATGATTACCGATGAGCTTTCATTTCCTCCTCGCACAGTCTCCTCCATGTCACTCTCGGATGTCCGATTCGTCGTTTCCCATTCGGATTCCACTCTGTGACCTGGCACATGATTTCACCCAGCGACTTTCTCAACATGTGATCTATCCACTTCCAATTCGCTCAGCAATAGGTTCTTGATTGGTTCGTTTTCAGAGTTTTTTGCTACCAATGGCTTCTGGCCCATCATCTGATCTTCAGTATGCGGCGATGGCAGCTGGTGATGAAAATTTGAATTTTGTTGTTTGTGCTTAGTTGAGAAGATCTCTAAATTGATTTCAGAGTGATGAAAGTCTGTCTTGCCTTCCTGATTCTGGCTTTGACATCCTCATCCATGCTGTCGCCTCTGGTTGAAACGATGCTTCCGAGGTAAGTGAAGGAATTGACCTCTTTCTAGTTTCTCTCGTTGATAGTGATTGGTTCTGGTTATTGTTGGCTGGTTACCCTCAACACCTGCGCCTTATCTATGTCCATTTGAAGTCCTGTCTTTGCTGCCCACTCTGTCGATTTGTTGATTTCGCCTGTAGGTATTCGAGTTTGTGTGACATTAGACATAGATTGTCTATGAAGTCCAGATCTTCTTGAGTCTTAGTATCAGTCCAGCGTATTCCTGTCTCCTCGCTCCCAACTCACAGTCTGACGCATGATCCAGTCCACGGCAATTAGGGGTATCATTTTTGATAGTTGGCAGCGTTGTCTTAATCTTCTCTTTACTTCAAAAGCTTCGTTGAGTTTTCCGTTGTGGATTACATGACATGTGGCACTGTCATATAGTCAGCTGTTGAATGAGGTTGATACAGATCTGAGCGCTGCAATCCACAGTGTTGAAGTGGTTTACAAATTAAACAGTGAGTATACACAGTGACCGGAACTCAGAAACTTCCGGTTCAAGGAAGTGTCATGCGCCGCTCAGACACCGCGGCCCATATATATATATATCACTGAAAAGTGTCAAGCTTACTTGAAGATAATACAAAGCAACGTAAACACAGACATCAAATTCCATCAAATGATGCAAATTTGCACTTACCCTCCGACCAGTATAATAATTGACACCTGAGCACTGCGGGTTGAAACAACATCTCATAATACATTCACCTTTGCTGACTTCTGCTGACTGAGGAGTTGACTGTTTCACTTTATAGTTATTCACTACTGAAAGTTGTCTTTGGCACGGACTATTGTTGGCTGAAACTGACCTACAAGAAAATGTGAGCAGCACAGATAGGATGCACAAATTCTTCTGGAAACTTAGGTAATCAATCATTTGGTGAGTTAATATTTCATCAGGAAAACTGTGTAGCAACTGTTCATAGTGAAGCTTTAAATATTCTTTTTATTGTCCAATAGAAGATTAGCTAATATGATGCATCTTACATTAGGCTGAAAAAGAACTTTTGTTTCATATATTGGACACAATTATTGGACGTTCTAGTAATAAGAATGTTTTTTTTAACTAAATTATTAGTTGCCATTGGTGAATGAGTGACACTAGGTATATGTTTTTCCATTTCTGATGGTAGTTTCAAGTGTTGGTTTGCGGGGATTTGATTTGATTGTTTACAGGAGTTGACATCGGTTAGAGAACCATTGGTAAACCTGAAGGGAGTACTAGACAGCTCATGATGAAATTATGAAGACTGTATTTCAGTCGAAATATGTAGCTTTCAGAGATATAATTGATACTGATTAATACATCATAGTGCACGTTTATTACATTCTCCAGCTAAATGTTTCAATTTACTCCAAATCAAACCAGTTCGGAGAAATGTGTTACCTGACTGTCTGAAATATTTTACACGTCCGTTACACACATTTCTTAAACTAGATTGTGACGTGTAGACAGGATAACTGGCAGCTGAAGACAACATTTTCAGGCTATCCTTTACATTCTGCAAAACGTATTCCTGCTTGAAGGACAGAATTTAAGTTATTGCACAGTGCCCTGGAATTCCTTGTGAAATGGTTCACACTTAATTTGATCAATTAATGTACTTCTTGTAATATTTATAGAGATGTTTACTGGGTTAACAAACTCTATTAAATACGCCGTTTAGAATAACAAACATATATCCGGTGTGGTTTTGGATTGTGATTACACAATCATTTTCTCTAGATTTCTTCCTTATTCTCCATTGAATATGAGTTGTTTGTGGTGTTGTGAGTGGCATTGTATAATTGTGACTTTCCTACCGTTTGAAATTGAATCTTGCTATCGTCATACTGGAAAAGATTGTTGCCCATCACATGACAGCCTTCGATGCTGTTGGCGATATCATAACAGTCAAAATATCAGTGTGTTTGAAATGGTAGTCTGGATGACCGGAGTGGATTACTGATTCTTCAGTTAAACACTTGGTGAGTTACCTTCCATTCAGTCTCCTCCAACAGATTCCTAGCACTTTGTATATTATCTTATTTCTTCTACAATCTGAGGAACCTTGTCAGTTAGCCTCAAACATGACACAACTATTCCGTGTTCCCTCGCCTACTTTTGCTTTCGCTAAAAGAAGGTCTATGAGTCGAATGCCATCCTAAATGCTGTTACCTATCGTCACTATGAGAAGTCTTCTCGTTTCTGGAGGATAATAAGCTTATCTTTTTCTTCGCTATGAAGTTTCAGCATCGATGAGGATGACTTTCACGATGTGGATCCTCTAGCTTCAGACCTGTTATTCCATCTCTTTCTGGTTTAACAATGGCTATTAAATTAGGGTAGGTTGATTTAGCCACATTCACCCTATTATTTAGGTGTAGTTCAATATTTTCATGCTTATTTTATCCTTCCTTGTACTTTATTTCTTGTTATTTAATAGTCGGATATCAGGTTTTGTTGTGTGTATCTTCAAATCATAACATTCAGAAAACATTTTGGATGGTCTCCTTATTCCCTCTAAACCGAACAAATTATTTTGGAATGAAATATTTACTACTGCAGTTTATTATATATATATAAATATATCCTAGCTTATGTCTGTTGGGTGGAAGTGATGACCGAAGTTACGTAACAGAATGATTCAATGTCTTATGTAGATTGCAAGAAACAACATTGTAAGGTAGTGGAAATGACTTCTGCACTCTCCATATAGGGGCTTCCAGCACCTATACTGTATCACAAATAGCATATCTAGCATCACTCGCTAAGTCTTCAACATCTATGGCTCCGAAAACGTATTATATTTCTGAGATGTGCATATAATATCCAGGTGTGAGTTTTCCCTTAAGTCAGGTCTGGTCAACGTGGTGAAATATACAGATGTCTGGATGATCCTAGGTTAGTTCTAGTGGATTTGGTGGTCTAGTCATAGCATTGAGCTTTAGTAGAGGAATTTCACATCTCAACTTGATGTTCATAATTTCCGCTTAGCCACTAAGTGACTTCAGTTTGGATAAAACAGAAGATGAGTTTTGTTGAGTTAAGTATTAAAAGGGAAACACTGAGGCAGAATCATTTTCGTGGGTGGTTTCGAAGCTCAAGTGAAAAACTCGAACTAGTCTGTAAAGTGTATTCAGGATATTTATGCAGTTTTATGTCTATTGCAGAAACAGACATCTGTGGTCGTTCCCTACAATTTTGTTCAGAAGACCACCATTTTCTTGTCAACACTAACACTAAACAGAAAGACAGACATTATCTCACCTAGCGACCTCCAAATTAAGGCTGACAGGGAAGACAAGCAAACAACTAAGCTATAAGTTGTCGATGAAATAAGTGGGTGGAAGATTGCTGCGCGTATTTTAATACCTGATGAACTTTGGTCATGCATTAGTCTTGGTTTGTGTATACCGACGACTGAATGAAGTCCTGAAGTCCTTAGGTTTAAACGTTCTAAGAGGGAATGAAGTCTACATGTATATTGGAGTTAACAAAATATCTGTCTCAACTAGAATACCACAATCACCTTGAAGAGGCTTGGTGTCATTTTTAGTTTGACATAGAAGAGGTGGTAAATGCTAATAATAGCTAAC